CTATCTTCATGCTTCGGATCATCCAGGTTTAACTCTCGTTACTCATAAACTAGATGGATCCAATTACAACAGTTGGTGTGTTGCGATGACTATAGCTTTGGAATCTAAGAACAAGTGGAGTTTTATAGACGGATCTCTCCCTAGACCTGATGAATCTGAATCGATTTACAAACTCTGGAATCGTTGCAACAGTATGGTTAAATCTTGGCTTCTTAATGTGGTTAACCAAGAAATCTATGACAGTATTCTCTACTTCAACGATGCTGCGGAAATCTGGACTGATTTGTTGAAGCGTTTTCACATCAGTAATTTACCTCGCAAGTATCAATTGGAACAGGATATTCTCACATTACGTCAAGGTTTAATGGATTTATCCACCTATTATACCAAGATGAAGACTCTGTGGCAACGCTTAGCAAGTACTAAATCTCAGAAAATCTGCAAATGCAACTGTGGCAAAGTTGAAGAGTTACTGGAAGATGCAGAAACAAGCCGTATCATACAATTTCTCATGGGTTTGAATGACTCTTATGCCAACATTCGAGGTCAAATCATCAACAAGAAGAATAGACCAAGTTTGAGTGAGATATACAACATGTTGGATCAAGATCAGAGTCAGAGAACTGTGGGATCTTCTACAAAAGACTATGTTGCACCTTCTGCATTTCAAGTTGCAGTTAATGATTCTTCTATGGTCACAGATGGAAGTATTAATGCCATGAATCATCAACAGAGACCTCGACATGTATGCACTTATTGTGGAGCTGTAGGACACCTTAAGGATCGTTGTTATAAATTTAATGGATATCCACCAGGCTGGACAGGAAAGAAGAAATTCACTCCACCTAATGCTTCTGCTCCTGCTTCTGGTTCTACACCTACTACTGTTTTACAGAATTTGAATCCATCTACAACTCCTAGTGCAAACATGACTTCTCTACATGGCATTACTAATTCAAATCTCAAAGGTTCAGAGAATTTGGGGGAGAACCTTACAACAGATCAAATCCAAGAGATCATTTCCTACTTTAGTTCAAAGATTCACACCTCTAGTATCACACCTACACTTGCAGTTTCTCAAGCTTCTACTTCAACTTCCGTACCAAGTATTTCACAGATATCTGGTACATTTCTGACACTTTATCCAAATACTTATTATGACATGCTTACTTCAAAACACTCTGAAACTGATATCTCTCCAAGTTCATGGGTAATAGATTCTGGGGCTACTCATCATGTGTCTAATTCTAGGACTATGTTTCTAGTTTTCCAGGATCTAGTTAATACCTATGTGAATTTGCCAAATGGAACTACTGTGAGTATTGTCGGAATAGGATATATTCAATTGTCTGAAAACATTCTTTTGCATGATGTTTTGTTTATTCCTATTTTCCGATTTAATCTCTTGAGTGTTAGCATGTTAACTAAGCATTTGAATTCTATAGTCAGTTATACTGCAACATCCTGTTTCATTCAGGATCTTACTCGGGAATTGATGCTTGGAAAGGGTAGTCAAGTCTCAAATCTTTATATTCTGGAGTCTAGTCAACAGCATTCTACTTTTGAAGTTTCAGGTAGTCTTATTCCTACTTGTTCTGCTGTTTCAGTAGATTCTCATATATGGCATACTCGTTTAGGGCATCCATCTCAATCTAGAATTGATGTGCTCACTGATGTACTGTCTTTAACAAAACCTATAAATAAGAATAAGATTCATCATTGCTCAGTTTGTCCTTTAGCAAAACAAAAACATTTACCTTTTAATGCAAATCAAAACATATGTTCTTCTTCATTTGATCTTTTGCATATAGACACATGGGGTCCTTTTTCAAAAGAAACTCATGATGGATTTAAATACTTTTTAACTATAGTGGATGATCATAGTAGAACAACTTGGATATATCTTTTAAAAGCAAAGTCTGATGTCTTGTTTGTTTTTCCTGATTTCTTGAAAATGATTGAAATTCAATATGCTACTAAAGTAAAATCTGTTAGATCCGACAATGCTCCTGAACTAAAATTCACAGATCTTTATCTAGAAAAGGGCATAGTTGCTTACCATTCCTGTCCAGAAACTCCTCAACAGAATTCTGTAGTAGAAAGGAAACACCAACACATCTTAAATGTTGCTAGAGCCTTAATGTTTCAATCTCAGGTTCCTTTAGAGTATTGGGGAGGATTGTATACTTACATCAGTATTTCTTATTAATAGATTACCTACCCCAGTCTTATCCAATGCTACTCCTTATGAGATTCTCACTAGTCAAAAGCCTGATTACAGCCAACTTAGAGCTTTTGGTTGCTTATGTTATGTGTCCACCTCTCCTAAGCAAAGGCATAAGTTTCAACCTAGAGCCAAAGCATGTGTCTTCTTAGGGTATCCATCAGGTTTCAAAGGTTACAAGGTATTGGACTTGGAGATCAATGTCATTTCTATTTCCAGGCATGTTATTTTTCATGAGGAAATTTTCCCGTTTCTATCTTCTACATTGACAGAAGATACACGGACCTTCTTTCCTCATATTTCTTTCCCTGCACACCCCGATGAATCTTTGCCTTCTGCACATTCATCTTCTAATGCACCTCCACATTCTGATGTGTCATCTTCTGAGAATCCTTTGCCTTTGGCACTAGATTCTCGCAGACCTACCAAACTCCCAGCATATTTGCAGGACTACTATATGAATAATACTTCTTTCACTACTCCTTATCCTATATCTAACTTTCTCTCTTATAATAAACTAAGCGTTTCTTTCTGCTCTTTCATTCAAAATATTACTCTTACTACTGAACCCCGTACTTATTCTGAGGCTAAGAAAATGCAAGAGTGGTGTGATGCCATTGGTGCGGAGCTTGGGGCTATGGAAAGAACTGGTACTTGGTTGATTTGTCCATTACCATCAGGTAAGAAGGCTATTGGTTGCAAATATGTCTTCAAAATCAAACATAATTCTGATGGTACTGTGGAGAGATACAAAGCTAGATTGGTAGCTAAAGGATATACACAGGAGGCAGGACTTGATTTCAAAGACACTTTTTCCCCAGTTGCGAAGCTTACCACTGTGAAGATCTTGTTAGGTATTGCTGCAAAACTTAACTGGTTTCTTACTCAGTTAGATGTGTCAAATGCATTTTTAAATGGGGATTTAGATGAGGAGATCTACATGGAGTTGCCTCCTGGTTATGAAGTTCCTGCAAGTTTGCAAACTGAAGATAAGATGGTCTGTCATTTACAGAAATCCATTTATGGCCTAAAGTCTAGGCAATGGTTTCTGAAATTTTCATCCACTGTTATTGCTTTGGGTTTTCAGACAACACACAGTGATCACACTCTTTTTACCAGATTCATTGATGGTGTTTTCATTGTCATTCTGGTGTACGTTGATGATATAATCATTGCAAGCAATAGTGGAGATGTTGTTCCTATACTGGTATCTCAGCTTGAAGCTGCTTTTCAACTCAGAAATATTGGTGAACCACAATATTTTCTTGGCCTGGAGATTGCTAGATCTTCTGCAGGAATCTCTATTTGTCAAAGGAAATATGTGTTAGAATTACTTTCAGATACAGGATTTCTTGGAAGCAAGCTGTCTTCAATACCAATGGAGCCTAATCATTCTATACACAAAGAAGATACTCCATTGCTACCTGATGCAGAAATTTATAGGAGACTCATTGGAAAATTGTTATACCTTTGCACTACCAGACCTGATATAACCTTTGCAGTAGGTAAACTTTGCCAATTCGCCTCTGCTCCTAGACAAGTTCACTTGTTGGCTGCTCACAAAGTTCTCAGATATCTGAAAGGCACTATTGGGAAGGGTTTGTTTTATTCAACAGATCCTGATTTACCTCTTAAAGGTTTCACTGATTCTGATTGGAACACTGATCCTGATTCAAGAAGATCAATTTCTGGTTATTGCATGTTTATTGGTGATGCTCTTGTTTCTTGGAAGTCTAAAAAGCAACGGGTCTGTTCTCAAAGCTCTGCAGAAGCAGAATACAGGGCCATGTCTTATGGTACTAAGGAACTCGTTTGGATAGCCAAGATTATGAAGGATTTACTTATTCCTTCTCCTATTACTGCATTGCTTTATTGTGACAACACAACAGCTCTTCACATCGCAAAGAATGCAGTCTTCCATGAGCGCACCAAACATGTGGAAAATGACTGTCACTTAGTCAGAGAAAAGGTGCAATTTGGTTTCTTGAAGACGATGCACGTTCACACTGAACATCAACTGGCAGATCCTCTTACTAAACCTCTGTACCCTACTCAGTTCTCCTATTTGATATCCAAGATGGGACTCCTAAACCTTTATGAGGCTCCATCTTGAGGAGGGCTATTAGATATATACAGTATACCACATTACCGGTTTCCTTTATCCGGTTATGTTAGATTAATTATACGGTTTAGTCTCATTATGATTTGTATATAATCTCACTTTGTACAACATTCATTAATTAATGAGAAAGCCTTTATTTAGTTTGTCTTTCTAATATAGATTAAGGCATATTGGTTTAATTCTCACTAGTAAATTGAGAAATTACGTTACACTTATCTTAAGTATGGTATGTGCTAATGATTTGATAGACTTGGACTTCTTTGATTTGGCAGGTTTAGTTTCAAACTCACTACTAACTCCGGTAACTGGACTAAGTCTACAAATTATATCAACCGTATGATAGACTTAACTTTAACTTTTTCATCAAGATAATGATCATTTTATAGCTAATTAGAAAAAAACGTATAATGTCAGAATGACGATTTTAATGCGATTGCACAAAAATTTTATAAATAAATAAAATCTGTACCATGTTTGACAAAACGTAAAAACAAAAAATTTACGTTTTCGCTTAAAAGAAATACAAAATTTATTATACAAAAAAAAAATAAATATATAGCTATTTATGTCATGAAAATTTATATAACCAATAACACAAAAATTTATTTTACGATTTCTAATTCTACGTAAATTTCATTTTGGAAATATATATTAAGCAAATTTCTTTTATCTTCCAGAGTTAGTTTCCATATCCAGAGGAGCTTGTATCTAAATTGGGGTTTAGGGTTTTCTAAATTGAGAAAAGTTTCGTTAACGATGAAGGCTGCGATGAATCCGCAGCTACTTGAGGATGATGATGACGACGGCTGTGGAAGTGACGATTTGATGGATGATGATGTCTGCGTAACGGAGCAAATTGGCGTAGAGGGTGTTTCAACGAGAACCAGTGAGCTCACTCTCTCTTTTGAAGGAGAGGTCTATGTCTTCCCTGCTGTCACGCCTCACAAGGTTCCATTTTTTACTTCTCCTTTTTATTTTGGGATTAGTATTCGTAGGACTATTGCTAGTTATACCTTCTGCATTTGGAGCAAGTTTTGTTCAATGGTTACTGAGTTTTTATTAGGTGAATCTTTAAGGTTAAGTCACTGTGTTGTTTGAGACTGTCTTACTTAGGTTTGAGTTTCCCTTGCATTATTACAACACTATTTTTTTCTATGCTTTGTGGTGATTCAGGTGCAAACTGTTCTCTTGCTATTGGGAGGGCCTACTGCTGTTCCTACACTTGAACTTCCATTTGAGAATAGCAGGGTAATTTAATGCGGGTTTAGAGTTATTAACTTTTGGTTTTTTCAGTTGTTTATCTTATCGTTCATGTGTTCTTCAGGGTGTGGGTAATAATCCTAGGCGATCAAATCTGTCAAGACGACTAGCTTCTCTAGTTAGGTTCCGTGAGAAGCGTAAGGAACGATCTTTTGACAAGAAGATAAGATATAATGTGCGAAAAGAAATTGCCCAGAGGTATATCATCAAGTTTCTGTTTAACTTAATCTAGGTGTGGATTCGGTCTCACCTGTAGGGATTGGGCTGCTTTTCTTATACTCTTCTAATGTTTATCTGTAAAATTTTGTTTTGGACAATTGATGGACAAGTTTATTTTCCTACTGGATGTCTCCAAACGGATTGATGCTAAAGGGTAGTTTGTAATTCAGGATGCACCGTAAGAATGGACAGTTTGCATCCGTTAGAGAAGGTTCAGGTGGTTCGAACTGGGAATCTACCCAGAGTGGCCTTCAAGATGGTACATTGCGCTCTGAAACTGCGTGAGTTGTGGATTTAACAATTTCCAAGTTTATCTAGAACAAGGATTTTATGTTACTCGCCGATAGGTTACTCCTTTCTCTCTGCCCTCCCATTTGTCTCGCTTGATGGTTGCTGTTTTTTTTTCAGTGCACACAATATAAACACCATTGATACTGATGTGATCAGCATTTAACAGGTTTATTAATCAAATTTGGCGTATTTCCCAAAAGAAGAAATCTTGTATACCCATTGTTGGGGTCGGATTCCATCATTTGGTGCCGAGCCAGACTTAGAACACCTTGGGAGTTTTTCTGAGATCACCTCGGGATATCGCATCATCCACCTCGGGTTATCCACCTAATCAATCTAGGGTACCCGAGCCCATCATCTTGTAGTATCCGAGCCCGGTCGCCTTGGGGTACCCGAACCCATCACCTCGGGGGTACACGGACAAGACATTGAGGGTACCCGCACCCAATCGCCTCGGAGTGTCCGAGCCCATCGCCTCGGAGGTTCCCGAACATGACATCTCGGGGTACCCGAGCCCAATCGCCTCGGAGTGTCCGAGCCCATTGCCTCGGGGATACCCGAACAAGACATCTCGGGGTACCCGAGCTAATCTCTCATGTATACCCGAGCCGGTTACACAAGTTCTCCGAGGCGAAGTCTTCATCATCACCCGAGGCAAAGACTTGGTAAGTATTCATTTTCAAAGTATCATTTCCAAGCAAGGCGTCATTTCCGAAGGGTCATTTCCGATAAACCCGGAAATGATAAGGGAGAATCTCGAAGGATCAACTCAAATCAGGAAAACTTCCGAGAAACCCCGAAGAATAAGGAAACTATCCTAATCCGCGATATTCTAGGCCGACTTCAAGATAAATGGAAATCTTCCGAGAATATCGCTGGAGAGGCGGTTTATCACCCCTATATAAAGAGATTCAAGGCTCTCGCAGAAAGCAAGCAATATCGCTCTAGAATTTACACTACGCAAAGCTCTCACAGCACAAACACCTTTTTCTTTTACGATCAAACTCTTGTACGATCAAAGTCATCTCTTTCTTAATAATATCAAGAACACCATCTTTGGTATCAATTGATTCTGTCGTTCTTTGAGAATTCTCGCAAATCGTATCCCTAAATTAAAACCCTAGACAAATCTCGATTGTGTTAGTTTCGACTTCCACAGTTTGGCGCCGTCTGTGGGGATACTTTAGAATTCTCTTACCCTAAGACGCATAACTCGATTATCGAAAAGGACGATGAACGAAGACGGTCGTCAGACACCACCAGCTGGAGGAGGGATCCCGAACCCTCCGAACCCTCAGAATCCTCAAGCCGATCCGACGATCATAGCGACTCTAGCCAAACTGAAAGACCTGATGGTTAAATTCCAGAAGAAAGCTGACGACCAAGAGAAAGCTAACAAAACCTTGGCGCAGCGAGTCGACGAAATCGCAACACGTGGGCAACAAAAAACTACGCGTTTCCAGACTCGGCCGCCACGAGCTTGGAGGGACTTGCCTGGCATCAACCCAACAAGACTCACGTTCGCGACGCCAACCGACAACACCAGAGTCGCAACCCGAGCCGACCCTGCCAGACGCGAGAACCAAGATGATCCCACCGAGCCAGACACAGTGGACTTGACGGACGAGCCAGATGATCTGCAAGATCAGCGTACCCGAGCCGGAGCTAATTCCGCCGAGCGAACAGATCTCACTGACGATGAAGAAACTGAGAACATAAGATGGGCCGAAGAATCCGAAAGGGAGGACGAGCTCAGCAAGATCCGAGCCTCCCTAGCCAAGGCGGAAGCTGATATGAAGCTCGTCAAAACCCAGATACATAGCGTTTCATCCTCTGCACCAAACATCGACCGAATTTTAGAAGAATCTCGGAACACGCCCTTCACCAAAAGAATTTCCGAAACGACGATGTCCAATCTGGGGAAGTTCAAAATCGACTCCTACAACGGATCAACCGACCCGAAGTGTCACATTAAATCTTTCGTGGTATCCGTAGCCCGAGCCAGGTTCAAGCCGGGGAGAAGGATGCAGATTTATGCTTGCTGTTCGTGGAATACCTCAAAGGACCCGCATTAGAGTGGTTTTCTAGATTGGAACGAAACTCGATTGATAGTTTCGACGAGCTGTCGACGCTATTCCTCAAACAATACTCCGTCCTCATCGACCCCGGAACTTCCGACGCAGATCTGTGGTCCCTATCTCAACAGCCCACCGAACCGTTGAGAGATTTCCTCACAACCTTCAAATCGACGCTAGCCAAGGTCGAAGGAATTACAGATGTAGCCGCTCTTTCGGCTTTGAAGAAAGGTCTCTGGTACAAGTCAGAATTCAGGAAAGAGTTGAACCTGTCTAAACCGACAACAATTCGTGACGCGCTGCATCGAGCCTCGGATTTCGTCGCCCACGAAGAAGAGATGGCGCTGCTAGCGAAGAGGCATGAGCCAACAAAACAGGCGCCCCGAACCGAGAAAACCGAGAAAGCCCAAGCGACACCTCCGGCCCAGAAGAAGACGCGTGAGAGCGGTACGTATACGCAACACGAAGGGCGCAATTTCTCAGGATACCATAACTACCAGATTGACAGGCCCCGAGGCCGTGGCCGCGGTAGAGGCCGAGGCCGTGGGAGAGGAAGATAGTCCTTCACTTGGACAAGGGATCAGCCACCGAGCAATGATCAAGAATATTGCGAACACCAAAAAATTTTCGGCCACCATACCTCGAGATGCCGAAGCCTCGGAGCCAAGTTAGCAACCAAATTCCTAGCTGGAGAGCTCGGGACGAATGTCACTCTTAAGGATCTCGAGCCGAAGCCAGAGCCCGAGCAGACCAACCCGGGAAGAGACCCCAAACCAAGGAACCAGGAGTCTCAGAAAAGAACCCGGGGGTCGGAAGACGAAGACCGAGATGGTACACGGCAGAAGGTTCTTACCATAATGGGCGGATCGCCATACTGTCCTGACACCGTAGCGGCAATCAAAGCTTATCAACGCCGAGCCGAGATGCCTAGCAACTGGACAAGACGCTTCGATCGACCTAACGACGTGATCACATTTGAAGAAAGCGAGACAAACGGGCTCGACATGCCTCATAACGATCCAATCGTCGTCGCATTAGCGATAGGAGACCATGATATTTACCGAGTATTAATTGACACCGGGAGCACCATCGACGTAATCTTTCGCGAAACGCTCCAAAAAATGAACATCGACATGTCACAGGTGATTCCGACCCCGAGGCCTGTCCTCGGATTTTCAGGGGAAACTTTGATGACGCTTGGAACCATCCAACTACCAGTCCGAGCCGGCGGGGTAACAAAGATAGTCAACTTCTCAGTCACCGATCAACCTACCATCTACAACGTTATAATGGGAACTCCGTGGTTAAATCTAATGCGAGCTGTCGCATCAACATATCATCTGTGTGTCAAATTCCCGACCCCCAATGGCGTGAAAACGATCTGGGGCAGTCAGAAAAATTCTCGGATGTGTTTCATGGCAGCACACAAACTCCGAAACCCTGTCACTGAAGCGAAGGCTGAAACCGATCACAAGAAATCAAAACTTGGCCGGAGTGAAGAGAAGGCTATATCTAAACAGTTATAGCAATTACAGATCGAGGAGGCGCGCGAGGAGAAGAAGCCTACCTCGGATCCTGTAATCTCCATTAGCCTCGACGACGAACGGCCTGAACGATGCGTGGAAATTGGCAGCGACTTAACCGAGGAAATCAAGACCGAGCTCATCTCATTTCTCAAAGAGAACATCAACACCTTCGCCTGGTCGGCTGAAGATCTACCTGGGGTAAGCATCGACGTAATCTGCCACGAGCTGAATGTTGACCCATCTTTCAAGCCCATCAAGCAGAAGCGAAGAAAATTGGGTCGGGATCGCGCGGATGCCGTGAACGCCGAAGTAGAAAAGCTCCTGAAGATCGGCTCGATCTCCGAAGCAAGATATCCGGACTGGTTAGCGAATCCTGTCATGGTTAAAAAGAAGAACGGCAAGTGGAGAATCTGCGTCGATTTCACCGATCTGAACAAAGCTTGCCCTAAAGACAGTTTTCCACTCCCACATATCGATCGTTTAGTGGAAGCAACCGCGGGAAATAAGTTGCTATCATTCATGGATGCTTTCGCAGGATACAATCAAATTCTCATGCACCCCGACGATCGCGAGAAGACAGCATTCATCACAGACCGAGGTATCTACTGTTACAAAGTCATGCCCTTCGGACTCAAGAATGCTGGCACAACGTATCAACAGCTCGTCAACAGGATGTTCTCTGAGCAGCTCGGGAAGACGATGGAAGTTTATATCGACGACATGTTAGTCAAATCCCTTGAAGAAAGCGATCACATAGCACATCTACGCGACTGTTTTCGCCAGCTCAATAAGCACAACATGAAGCTCAACCCGGCAAAATGTCGTTTCGCGGTAAAGTCGGGAGAATTCTTGGGATATCTCGTAACTCACCGAGGCATCGAGGCAAACCCGAAGCAAATCGATGCTCTACTGAACATGCCCTCACCACAGAACAAGCGCGAAGTCCAACGTCTCACCGGGAGAGTCGCAGCCTTGAACCGATTCATCTCGCGGTCCACTGACAAATGCCTGGCTTTCTACGATACTCTGCGCGGGAACAAGAAATTCGAATGGACCGATCGCTGCGAAGAAGCTTTCCAGGAACTGAAGAAGTATTTGGCTAACCTACCGGTGTTGGCGACACCAGTCCCGGGCGAGCCATTATTCCTGTACATCGCAGTCTCTGATACGGCGATAAGTGGAGTCATAGTCAGGGAAGACAGAGGAGAGCAGAAGCCGATATTTTATGTCTCGCAAACTTTCACCGACGCGGAAACACGCTACCCGCAAACGGAAAAACTCGCCCTCGCCGTAGTAATGTCAGCTCGGAAACTACGGCCATATTTCCAGTCTCACTCAATTGTCGTCAAGGCGCCCGTATCACTCCGAACCATCCTGCACAGTCCGAGCCAATCGGGACGCCTGGCCAAGTGGGCAGTAGAACTCAGCGAGAATGACATCGAATACAGGAACAAAACATGCGCGAAATCTCAAGTCCTGGCCGATTTTATCATCGAGCTGCCAACAGAGAACGCTCGAGAAGAGTCACCCAACGCTGTTTGGATCCTCCACGTCGACGGCTCATCCTCAAAACAAGGTTCTGGCGTCGGAATCTGCCTAGCATCACCAGAGGGTGAAATCCTCGAACAATCCTTTCGGCTAAATTTCGACGCGACTAACAACGTAGCTGAGTATGAAGCGCTGATAGCAGGTCTTAAGCTGGCTCGGGGACTTAAGATCAACAAGCTGCGAGCCTTTTGCGACTCCCAGCTCGTGGCTAATCAATTCAATGGAGAATACGTGGCTCGCGACGAACGAATGGAAGCGTATCTTGCTCTCACACAAGACTTGGCGAAACAGTTCGGAGAGTTCGAGTTAACCAGAATCCCACGAGGTGAAAACACATCGGCCGATGCCTTAGCGGCTCTAGCTTCAACCTCCGACCCAAATCTGAAGAGAATCATACCGGTCGGGTTCATCGAAAAGCCGAGCATCGAAGATAATACAAGGATCAAGTTCTAACAGCTCGGGAGACAGAAGAACCGGAAGAAATGGACATCGAACTGCTAGACCAGCAAACTACGGACGCAACCGAGCCCGAATACGGAAGCGATGCCAAATGGATCGGAGCCATACGAAGCTACATAGCCGATGGAGAAGTCCCTACTGAAAAATGGGCAGCTCGGAAGCTTAAGGCCAAGGCGGCTTGGTATACTCTGATCGACGGAGAACTCTTTAAATGGCGATTTTCTGGTCCCCTCCTTATCTGTGTCGAAGGAAATGAAGCTCGGAGAGTCATGGAAGAAGTACACGGCGGATCTTGTGGAAACCATTCTGGCGGAAGAGCCCTGGCTATAAAGATCAAACGCCACGGATATTTTTGGCCGACGATGGTCAAAGACTGCGAGAAGTTTTCTCAACGATGTGATAAATGCCAGAGGCGCGCTTGGAACCATCCAACTACCAGTCCGAGCCGGCGGGCAGCTCGGAAACTTAAGGCCAAGGTGGCTCGGTATACTCTGATCGACGGAGAACTCTTTAAATGGCGATTTTCTGGTCCCCTCCTTATCTGTGTCGAAGGAAATGAAGCTCGGAGAGTCATGGAAGAAGTACACGGCGGATCTTGTGGAAACCATTCTGGCGGAAGAGCCCTGGCTATCAAGATCAAACGCCACAAATATTTTTGGCCGACGATGGTCAAAGACTGCGAGAAGTTTTCTCAACGATGTGATAAATGCCAGAGGCACGCACCAACCATTCATCAACCCGCCGAGCTCCTTTCTTCCATCACTTCGCCTTATCCATTCATGCGATGGTCCATGGACATCATCGGACCTCTACACAACTCCAAGCAGAAGAAACTCGTCCTCGTACTGACAGACTACTTCTCCAAATGGATCGAGGCGGACTCCTACGCCAGCATCAAAGACGCGCAGGTCGAGAACTTCGTTTGGAAGAACATCGTGTGCCGCCACGGAATACCTTACGAGATCGTTACAGACAACGAATCGTAGTTTATTTCGGCTCGGTTCGAAGGATTCTGCGAGAAATGGGGAATTCGCCTTAGCAAGTCTACGCCTCGGTACCCTCAGGGAAACGGACAGGCCGAAGAGGCAAACAAGACGATTCTCGACGGAATAAAAAAGCGCCTCGACGCGAAGAAAGGCCGCTGGGCCGACGAATTGGAAGGAGTACTATGGTCGCATAGAACCACGCCGCGGCGGGCCACGGGAGAAACACCTTTCGCCCTTGTCTACGGCACGGAGTGTGTGATTCCCACCGAAGCCGAGATCCCGGGACTAAGAAGACATTTTCTCCCCGAGCAGGAAAATTCCAACACTCAGATGATGCTGGACGAGCTGGACTTAATTGACAAAAGAAGGGATTCGGCTTTGATCCGTATGCAGAACTATCAAAATGCAACGGCTAGGTACTACAATTCTCACGTTAAGCATCGCCGCTTCCACGAAGGAGATCTTGTACTGCGCAAAGTTTTCCAGAATACCGCCGAACAGAACGCAGGTAAGCTCGGCGCGAATTGGGAAGGACCTTACACGATCGCAAAGGTAATCCGTCCCGGCGTCTACGAACTCGTCAACATTAACGGCAAAGCGGTACTTAGATCCTGGAACGCAATGCATCTAAAGAAATATTACCGCTAAAAACCTAAGGTACGCATGTACTCGAACTACGGGGTGGCTTGATCCCTGAAAAGGGTACGTAGGCAGCTCGTCCTCGGACGAGTTCAGCTACCCCCCTAATTAAAAAAGGGGGAGTGGGTCCGTATACATATACTCCCACTAAATTTTTTAAATTTTCTAAGTTTTTACCCTTCGGATTTTCATTTTTATCCACCTCGACATCTATCCCAAAATTCATCTCGGGACCTTTACGGTCTCCTTATCGACCCACAAAGCCAACAGTTCGTTCGGACGATGGCAACGTCCACGAACAGAGAGCTCATCTCACCGCTTCGGTTACAGCGCGCTATATAAGCATTCGAGACAATTCGGTCGGAGATATCTTGCCAAATAAATTGTCTTCAGAAAACCCAGTTAACTTCAACACTGGTATCCAGTTCGCTTCTAAGCACTGGCAATCGACTATATCAGCTCGGGTCGCAGCCGAAAAAGATATTAGTCCCACTTACCAAAACCCAGTTTCCTTAACACTGGTACACTATTCGCTTGGTCGTCTCGGAAACTAAAACAGCGGAAGTTTGACTCCTATTTGACAACAAACCGCTGAGTTATACCCAGCTCTTGCCCCAGTTCGTACTAAACACTGGGTTTACGATGGGTTGAAAACTTAAACTCCGAGACTTTATCGAGAAACCAAAAAATACATTTATTATCAATGGATAAAGCCGTCCATGCATCAAGTCTTACAAAGATTCAAAATAAAAAGAAGGAATACGCCACGGATCTATTCGTCCTGCTCCTCCGGAACATGTGCGGCTTCGGAACTCAGATTCGTGCCCGCCTGATCCATAATGCCGATCCCCGCGGCAACTCCTTCGATTGACCTGTTTCCGAAACTATCTTCAACAGAATCTGGAGAAGCCGGAGGAAGCCTCAGATCCTCTCGCAGCTCGGTTCCAATCCGCACAAACTCCTCCTCAGCATCTCCATACTCCGCTTTCCACTGGAGTACTTCCTCCTTCTCATCTTCAACATTTTTGCCGCCTTCAAGATCGGCAATTAATTCGGCATTAGCCCTGGCCTAGACCAGGAACATGTAGCGCTCGGACGCCTTCTCCTCGGTGAATAGCCGGTTCAAGCGTTCGACTTCAGCCTCCAACTTCCGACGAAGGCGAAGACCATCCTCGGCCATCTTCAATCGCTCGACCTTCTTTGCCTTGGCCAACGCTTCGGCTTTCCGCCTGACCTCATCTGCCTCGGTAATCTTGGCCGCCGCCTCGGCAATCTTGGCCTCCGCTTCGGCATTTTTGGCATCTGCCTCGACGATCCTGGCATCGGCCTCGGCAATCCTGACCTCCGCCTCGGCTTGAGAAGTCTCGTATTTCCGGTTCGAAGAGTTGTAGGCTCGAACCATGCAGTTCATTGAATGGAAAGCCTGGGACGCAAAAACTTAAGTTAGTACCGAGATTTCTAAATTTTAAAAGGTCTAGGATGCCTCGGATATGAACTAGTACCTTTAGGAACCCTGCAGCGGTTTCGCGGTAATTTTCAGCCTCCAGCAAGGCCTCGGACGCAGCTAGGGTCGGACCCGAGCAAGAAGCGATAAGAGTAGCAGAGGCTATCTTATCCTTGTAGATAGGAGCCTCGTTACGACTCCTCTTCTCTTTCCTACGACCTCCCGAGCTATCACCTCGGGGCCTCTTGACCTTCGCCTTAGCCTTCGCCTCGGCACCTAGAGCGACGATAGCCGAGGTCCCTACCACCTCGGGGACATTGGTCGTAGGGGAGATATGCCCGGCCGCCTCAGGCACGATCGAAGCCATATCCCGAGCTTCATCAGTCGCCTCGGCACCAACGACGACCTCAAGACTGGCCTCGGGAGGAGTAGGAGGTCTAAAGTTTGCCTCCAAAACAGCTTTTTCCTTAGCCGCCTTCTTTTCGGCAGCTTTCCTGGCTCTCAGAGACTGCGCAGCTCCCTGCATCTCGATAAGATGATCTAGGCGATGATCGGACGAAGAGGATTGTCAAGGAGCTCCGTGCAGTAGACGCAGGGCTCTCTCAATTCTTTCTTGGGAGAAGTGTTTCGTCCAATCGCACTTCCGAGCTATTAGTTCGTCGTGTAGATCGAGAAAGCCTTCGGGAACGTTTTCGAGAAATGACGGGTTCCGATCTGCGTAAACAAGAAAACACTCAGTGAAAAGTTTAAAGCAAAACAAAACAGCAAATACGGCTTCGGGCGTAGTACCAATTTTTCTCCACTTTCCAACAACTTTCCCTAAGTAGTCCTCGTGGACACTATACTCATTCAAGGCTACGAAGAAGAAATGGTCGGTGTACTTCTCATCCTTGCTCGGGAAACCACCGATAACCCTCCTATTTGGCCTCAGAGATATGTAAAATCTCTCAACAGGGCCTGGTATGCGCCGGATCTCTAGGAGATTCCTTAAGTGGCTAAGGTCGACAAGGTTGACCGTCTCAATACTCCGGACTAGAATCCCTATAAGATAGCGCAAGCCTCGGGTTGTAATCTGAGACAAAGCGATCTTGTACGACCATAGAAACGCTAAAATCGGCCTCGGGATTGGAAGCCAAAGGTAGCAATGGTAGAAGAACCCCTCGTAAAGGGTGAAAAACCCCTCGGGCGGATCATCTGCTCGCTCATTCGGAGTTGGAAGTCTTAGCTCAATTCCCTCGCTAAAACCGAACCGGGCCTTGAGATCCCGAAGGGAGTCCTCCGTGCATAAGGTGGAACCCGGGGGATCGGGTTTCCTAGCTTTCTTGGCTCGTTTTCTCTTCTGTTGACCCTTGGCTGCTTGAACTTTAGCTTGAAGCAACCTGGCCGCCTCGTCAGAGTCATAATGAACCTCCTCGGCCTTAATAAGAAGTAGAGATGCCTCGGGGGCATTTTGCCAGCATGAGACTCTAGCTTCACCAACTGCTGGTGGATGTATCCCCCTCCTATTCAAAATTGCCTCGAGATCATCAGGCAAATCCTGATCCCGAGCCACATCTGCAATCGCGTCTTCCCGAGCGATGAAACGGCTCGGGTCTTCTTCCCGTGAAGCCGACTCTGCATCACTACCATGGTACAACTCGATCTGACGGTCCGTGGTATCCGCCTCGGGGTCGCTCGAAGAACTCCAGACCATCTTTCTCTTGTAGACAGGGAGATGAGTGTCGCCTCGGGGCGAATCACTGGAGTCAAAGAGAGACATTTTCTGGCTCGGGAGATTGAAGAAGTTGATCGGAGGAACAAAGCTTGACAGATCGGAGAAATCAACCTAGATCTAATGACGGTGGCGCTACGACGGAAGTATAACGAAAAAAGTAGAAAATGCAAGAACTCAAGATCAGAGAAAGAAGAGAACGAACCTTGAAAATTTTCCTTTGCAGTTGCGAAATGAGAGAATGAGTCGGAGACTTAACATTTATAGGGACTTAGGGCGCGTCGGGTACGAACCAGCCAAATAAAAAACATCGCGTCCGCGTCTAAGGCACGTCGGGCACGCACGAATCGAATAAGATACTTCATATCCGCACGAATCTCGGGAATAGGCGAAAGGACCTTTCCACTTCTCGAGAAGGAATCCCAACCGTCACACGTCAAGAGAAGATGAAACGACAGAGGAATTCGAATCGCCAAAAACTTTAAAGGGACCGAACTATCCGAAGTAAACGGCTCGGCCTAATTGTCATAAAGCTCGTCACGCTTGGTTCTCCAAACTAACAAGCTGGGGGGCTAACTGTTAGGGTCGGATTCCATCCTTTGGTGTCGAGCCAGACTTAGAACACCTCGGGAGTTTTTCTGAGATCACCTCGGGATATCGTATCATCCACCTCGGGTTATCCACCTAGTCAATCTAGGGTACCCGAGCCCATCATCTTGTAGTATCCAAGCCCGGTCGCCTCGGGGTACCCAAACCCATCACCTCGGGGGTACCCGGACAAGACATTGAGGGTACCCGCACCCAATCGCCTCGGAGTGTCCAAGCCCATCGCCTCGGAGGTTCCCGAACATGACATCTCGGGGTACCCGAGCCCAATCGCCTCGGAGTGTCCGAGCCCATTGCCTCAGGGGTACCCGAACAAGACATCTCGGGGTACCCGAGCTAATCTCTCATGTATACCCGAGCCGGTTACACAAGTTCTCCGAGGCGAAGTCTTCATCATCACCCGAGGCAAAGACTTGGTAAGTATTCATCTTCAAAGTATCATTTCCAAGCAAGGCGTCATTTCCGAAGGGTCATTTCCGATAAACCCGGAAATGATAAGGGAGAATCTCGAAGGATCAACTCAAATCAGGAAAACTTCCGAGAAACCCCGAAGAATAAGGAAACTATCCTAATCCGCGATATTCTAGGCCGACTTCAAGATAAATGGAAATCTTCCGAGAATATCGCTGGAGAGGCGGTTTATCACCCCTATATAAAGAGATTCAAGGCTCTCGCAGAAAGCAAGCAATATCGCTCTAGAATTTACACTACACAAAGCTCTCACAGCATAAACACCTTTTTCTTTTACGATCAAACTCTTGTACGATCAAAGTCATCTCTTTCTTAATAATATCAAGAACACCATCTTTGGTATCAATTGATTCTGTCGTTCTTTGAGAATTCTCGCAAATCGTATCCCTAAATTAAAACCCTAGACAAATCTCGATTGTGTTAGTTTCGACTTCCACACCCATAGTTGGTTAGGTTCATATCAAGGGAGAGGGGCTTAAAATAGTCTTTTCATTTTCTATCATAAGTTGAAATCAGCATGTTTGCATACTGACTTAAAAAAGTCATCTGTTCCTTACCTTCCTCATGTAAAACCGTTTTCTTACTCGGTGGACCTTCGTGAATTATATATAACATTTCCTTGTTGTCTATGTAGTTCTACCCATTTCTTTTTTTGAACATTATAAGCCGTTCTAGTGAATTTTGATTTATTGTCTAGTTGTGTCTTCTCCCTGTGATCTGGTTGTTTAAATATCCAGGGAACGTTGAGAGATCTCAGTAAAGGAGCCAGGAATCTTTCTGTTTCTCAGACAGAACCTGTATGTAAGACATTCTGTAGTTTTGTTTAATGTCAAATGTTTTTTTTTTTTTGTATTGCTGTTGGTCTGACTCGAGCAAGCAAGACGAAGATGTATGCTGTCTAATCTTTCTATACCTTTCTTTCAAAAAACCTCTATAGTATCAATAAGGTTAATAGCTGTGCTCGCAGGGAGTTTCAGTAGATCCTTCTAAAGCAATAGGAGAGTTTCCCATTGAAACCAATGGCAATCCCGATATTAAGGTATCTTGGATGGTTATGACGACTTACTTTATTAATTGTTTTCCCTTTCGAAGGTGTGCACATAATTCTTTATCGGACTTCTTCTTTTTTTGGGCAGGGTTTGCAAGAAGCAGATGAAGATTTGGCCAGTTATTTGCCTGTTGGAATGTTGTCCTCATCGGCTGATGATGATTATGATGATCAGGTAAAATAATTTCTCTAAAACAAGGTAAAAACAATATACAGAAAGCACAAGTAGCATTATAATAATTTAGTTTTGGGGGATGCAGGAACCTCTTGCCAAACTGGCTAATCCATCTGATACAGACTTTGATCTACCTTCTAGCTTTGATTAGTTAGAAGCACATCAGGGAGGTATGATATTCACCAGACAGATGCTTTAACCTGACTATTAGATGCGTATCTGTGAGGCTGCTTCATCAGACGGAACACAGCTTTGTCTAATGAGGCAAGCTTGTGTAGTTGTAACAATAGAAAATAAATAAATACACTAGTTACGGGGATGTGTTTGAAACGTTTCTTGTTTATATCGATGCCTGTGTACCAGTTTGTTGCTAACACTTAATAGATTCAGTACATACATAACACTCTTAACGTATGACCAATATGTATGATTACCAAACAAAACATTCTTCTTCTATGTCCAGTCATATGTAAGAAACCAGTCTTATCAACACTACGCTAGTACTGTTAGTGCATTCTATCTTAAAAAGAGTGTAAGAATCTGCAACTCTTTACAAAATTTATAAGAAACAAAATTTGGAATTTCTATCTTAAATCTGATTCTGATCAAGAAACTCCTCGTAAGCAGACGATCCACTGGAAGAGTCGGATTCATATTGGTCTTCTTCCTTAGGAGGAGACAAAGTAGGCGAGAGTTGGGGCTTCTTAGAACCTGCAACATAACACAAAAGAGAGAGAGTTATTTCTTTCTCTTATCTTGTTTTTGCAACTCATAACTTGCAATAATACTAAACCTTTTGTGGTGTTTTGATTTTGGAACTTCTTAGAGTGACGCCTGATGAGTTTCTTAGCTTTGGTAATCGTCAATTGTCTTGCAAAGGGAGAGAAATCTGATTCATTGTCACTCCACTCCCCAGGGAAGCTGTCTTCTGTTTCCCCTCTCATTGTCCGAAGCACGAATTTCTTGGCCTTTCTCCTTTGGGTATTGAAAATACCTCTAATCGATGTGACAAATCCATCACCTGCATTGTCACCGGGACGTTTCACCCATGCCCCTGAATCCTGATCTGATCTCCCTGACTCGTCTTTGTCTCTCAAACCAATCTCATCTTTTGGAACGTGTGTTTTGTCTTTGAATTTCTTCATCTACAAATACCATCAAATGAACATGAGTTTTATTGAATCAGGGAGACATAACCCATATGCATCTATTTCTTGTGTAAATGGTCTTACTTGCATTCCGGTTACCGACTTGAGGACTCCCCATATTATGTGCTTCTTTACTCGAGAGAAGAGTCTCCTCCATGTTCCGCTGAATTCAACACGATGAAATGTGTCCATACACAGCTTCATATCGTTCACAACAAATCTTGAGCCCTCGTAAGTGATCAACAGTTCCACCTAAAGCTCAGAACCATATTACAAGGTTAAGTTTATTATGCTTTGGTAAAATTATGGACCATTTGCTTAGATGAGGTAATCAAACTGACAGACCTGACTAATCTTGATGGTTTGG